TTTCTTCAGTATTCTAGTTTCTCTCCACTTTCCCAAGACGTGTATGTTAAGTTCATTGGCATACCTCAGTTGTCCGTGTGTGTGTGTGTGTGTGTGTGTGTGTGTGTGTGTGTGTGTGAGAGAGAGAGAGAGAGAGAGAGAGAGAGAGAGAACTTCCTGACTTCCGGTAATTGAAAGAGTGTCCTGTCCAGGCTGTTTCCTCTTTGTACCCTAAAATTTAGGGATATACTCTAGTAACCTGCAAACCTGAACCAGAATAAGTGGATTGGAAGAAATAAATTTACAAATAAAAATACAGATTATTTATTTATTTATTTGGTTGGTTGGTTGGTTGGTTGGTTTGGGGGGGCACATCTGTGGCTAATTTTTGGCTCTGTGCTCAGGGATCACTCTTGCTGGGGTCAGGAGATCATATGGGGTGCCAAGGAGTGAGCCCAAGCTGTACGTGTGGAAGGCAAATGCCCTATCTACTCTACTATTGCTCCAGCCCAAAATGTTAAAGTTTTTTTTAACAGTTTAGTGATGATTTGTGACCAGAAAGGTTCTGTAGGAACTTTAGTTTTGTTTATATCAATTTAGCTAAGAGTAAACTTGTTTTTGCTTAAAGTTGCAGTTTTCAAGAATCGCTTGATGATTGTGAGATCTTGCTATAGTAGTATTATACAGTATTTCTATAAAGGGACAAAGGAAAGAGTCGAAATATAGAATAATAAAGAGCTAGACTATGGTGAGGGAGTGGATAGAACAGAAAATAATGAAGAAATACTTGATATTTACCAAAACAGTGACAATAACAAAAATTTTGTCACCCAGAAGACTTGCATTTGAGGGCCAGGAGGATAGCACAGTGATATAAGTGCTTGCTTTGCATCTCACCAACCCTGAATTGAATCCTTGGCTCCACGTATGATCCTTAAGCACTCCCTGGGGTTTCTCCTAAGCACAGTCAGGAATAGTCTCTAAGCACCACCAAGTGTGGCCCTCAAGGCCCCTGCCACCCATAAAAAGGAAGGTGAAGACTTGCATTTGGATGTAAGAACCAAAGGATAATAAGTTAGCATTAACTTCAGAGTATTGATTAGGTTGATAGTATTGATAATAGAACAGGGAAATAAAGTGGAGTGGGTGATGGGTTGTGTCTTTCAGCCCCTATATTGCACTTGGTAGAGAATCTCTTGTGGTAATTTGTGCACCACTTAGGATTGTTCTACAACCGTGCCAAAATAAACAAAATGTTTAAGAAAAACAAAGTTATGCTGTGTATGACAATATGGATAGAAATAGAGGAGGTCATGCTAAGCAAAGTCAGAAGGAGAAAGACAAATACTGGATGATTCCATGCTACACATGGAATAAAAGAATCAAGGAAAAAAAAAACAGACAAAATCAAATGAAAACAAAACTTTGACTCTGGCCTTAGACATGGTTTGGAAGAGGGGTTGAGAAGTGAAGAGGTTTAAATCACTGTGGTTGAGAAATACTGAAACATTGGTTCTGGGCACGCTTTGGTAATGTGCATTTGAAAATATATGAAATAGTACTACTTTCACTTTTTGGTAAAAAAATAAGAATAGAACACAATAAGAATAGAACAAAAATTAAGAATAGAACAAATTAAAAATAGAAAAAAATGAGTTGAGCAATGAAATATATAACAGAGGTGTTAACCATAACCAAAACCTGGAAACAACCCAAGTGTCCAAGAACAGATGACTGGATAAAGAAAGTAGGGTACATATATACAACGGAATACTAATCAGCTTTATTTTTAAAAGATACATTCATACAATTTGCTGCTATGTGGATAGATCTGGAAGATATCATGCTGAGTGAAGAAAAAGAGGGACAGATACAGAATCATCTCTCTCATCTGTGGCTTATAAAGAAATAATAGGTGAATTAACAAATGCCCAAAGGCAGCAGAAACAGAACTATTCTTCAGCAGGAAGCTTGGGGGGATAGGGGAGGTGGAGGGGTGGGGGGGATACTCTGGTGGATGGTATGATGCTGGAATGTTTTATGCAGGAAACACTACCATTAACAGTTTTGTAACCACAGTACCTAAAATAAAAATTAAAGGTGCTGATAAAGTTGTTGGGGGTGTTTATTTGATTAGATATATTGGTGACATTACAAGCAATTAGTTTTGAAATGTGGGGAATATGTGTAAGTCTACTTATATAAAAATAAAAGGAATGTGCAAGGAAAACAGAATAAAAGAATATACACAAATGTTATGGAAAGTTTTAGAATGTGCTCCTGATGAAAGTCTTTATTAACAAAAGTGTACTGACAGAGTGGTTGTGATTTTGTTCTGTTTAATATGGGTTGAGGTTTGTAATATGGCCAATGGAATAGTGGTTATTTAGAATTCATATAAATAATTTAACTTAAGAGTTATGATGTTGCAGCTATAGTAAAGGGAGAGTCGAGGTCAGAACTGGTTAACACAGTTCAGTGAACTCCAATTTCTCTTCTTATCTTCATGTGAAACTTGAAAAAGCTGAATGGAACTAATCTACAATGTTATTTCTCAGATATCAGAGTGTACTAGGGGGGCTTCAGATGAACAGTGATGTTGTAAGAGCAATGCAAGAACAGAATATAAAGTAAGGAGTTTTAGAAAACAAATGTGTTTGGAATCATTGTTGTTAAAGTCACATGTTGGTCTATATCCAGGCTAGTGTTTTGCCTCTCAAAATTTCTCCATGGGTTCTCATGTAATGATTTGCCTTCATGTTTTAATCTCAGAGGTTTATAATCATACCTCTAAAATCTTAGTCCATAAATTCCTTGTAAATTGTTACTGCTATAGTACATTAATCCATAATAAAGCTTCTGAATTGTGTTCATTCTTCTCCTTAGGAAATCATGTTATAATAGGCACATCTGAACATGGAGTGGCAGTGTTCCTCAGAATGTGCTTTATAGACATTAGTCTCATCAGATGCTTTCAAAAGAAATGAGTCAAGGAAGGAGGTGTAGTGTGGTCATATTAACTTAGAGAAGTACAACATGTTGTTCAGTTATATTTCTTCCCTTTGGCATATTTAGGCATGTTTATTAATAGAATTAGTACTACTACCATCTCTCAGTTTTGTTTTTGCACAAAAATACTATCTTTTGCAACACATTTGGGGAAATTGGAAATACTCAAAATTAATATGGAACCATATAAGAAGGAATTCTTTGAGTATGTGTGTTAAATAATGAAAGAGTAGAGTAAGATATGTGTAAAGAATATGAAATAAATCATGAACAATGGTCATATATAAACCAATTCAAAAAAATAAAATTTAGGAAAACCATTTCTCCCAAAACTTGAGGAATGACATCCTCTCTGCTAGTTTACTTCTATTTTTCTTCTTCTGTTTTCTCTTTTGTGTTTATTATATTCATTCATCGTGATTTTTTTGTGGGGGGTAATACCCGACGATGCACAGGGGTTCCTCCTGGCTCTGCACTCAGGAATTACCCCTGACGGTGCTCAGGGGACCATATGGGATGCTGGGAATCGAATCTGGGTTGGCCACGTGCAAGGCAAATGCCCTACCCGCTGTGCTTTTGCTCCAGCCCCTCACCATCATTTTTAATTGAGCAATGAATAAAAATCACAGACATAAAGTCAGACTTCTTTGGGAATCACAGAATTACTATTTAATAGCCGTGAAGTCTTGGGCACGTTACTAACCTCTTGATCCCATTTCCTCATCTTTAACATGGAGATAGGATTACAGTCAGGGCATATTATTGGAAATATATAACCTGTAGCAATGTCTCTGCTCCTAATGGTTGATATTATAAATTATTTGTACCACCTTTGTCTACTCTTTACCATTTCTCCTATCTGTTTTAAGCTCATACTTACACAGCAATCTCATTCTCTACTTAATTCTTTAAACTAATATTTTCTGTAATTTAAAAATTATTATAACTTCTACATTGAAGTTGGCTATAATTAGACTTGAAGTTTTATCTCTTACAAAATTATGGTATTTTACCTTGTAATTAACTGTCAAAGGAATAATGTAGAAGCAAGAGAAATTGTCTTCTTTGCTACTTTTTGTTTTATTCACTAATGCATGAATTATTAACACTCAGTCTACAGTTTCTGTGCAGGAATCTTACACTTGACTGTACATTACATTTTATTTGGTTAAACAAGCCACAATCAAGGAGGGCAGGAGAGAATATAGCAGGGAAGGTGCTCGTCTTGCACACAGCTTACCCAAGTTTCAATTCCCAGCACCCAGTTTGGTCCCCAAGCCTACCAGAGCACAGAACCAGAAGTAAGACCTCAGTGTGGCCCCCAAACATAAACCAACTAAACAAACAAAAAAATCAGTCAACTAATATACTTTACTAGATTCATATTAAGTATCTTGGCTGATACAGTCCAGCATTTTATTAACCTTGGGTGCCATGTATTTGGAATGACTATCTTTATGGAGTAGTTAATGTGATAACTCTTAAAATATTTATTATACATAAATGCAATTTTGAAATTTGGACCTTTTAAGAAAGAATAAAATTACTGAAATGAGAACCCTAGGGTGACAATAGAGAATGTATATCTTATAATCATTATAAATTCTGTTTTACAAGCAACCATGAAAGAATAAGTATAAATGAATTAAATTATCCCCGATTTCTTTAGTATTCTTTTTTTACACAGTCAAATGACTCCAGGGTTTTAAAAAAATGAATTTTTTTTTATTAAAATGCAAAGTCAATACACTAGTAAAAAAGAATTTTATGTACGGGCTGGAGAGATACTCCCACAGCTAGGGGTCTTATCTTACATGCAGCCTACCTGGATTTGATCCCCTGCATCCCACATAGTCCCCTGAGCCCTGTTGGGAGTAATTTCTGAGTGAGGAGTCAGTAGTGACCCCAAGACCATTTCTGGGCATGGTTCAAAGCCAAAAACAAACCATAGAATTTTATGTGAACTTCTTATATTTGTATCTAATGTATAGCATTCTGTTGTATTTTAACAGTTTCTTCACTGTGATTCCTCAGAAACAGATGAAATGGAAAGACTTAAGCATGAAAGAAATAATGCCCTGGAAGAAGTAAATATACTTAAGGTAATCTCCAATTTAGCTTCCTTACATTCTTTTAGAAAAAAATTTATTTTGTGTTGAAATACAAAGTTTCTGAGTTGAGTTTTAGTTTTAAAAAATATTAACATCAAATGAGAGTAGTAAATTTTGGTTGAATATCAAATAATTTAATATTTCTCTATTTAGTTGACCTTTATAGAATTAGTATTTTAGTTCACACACTTTTATATTTTACTATGTTCATATAAATTTTAGTGTTAACAGTGTTTTGCTTCTACCGTATGATCTGACTGTTTCTTGCCCCCCCACTACTTTTCTGATCCCCCTTTCTCGAATTTTTTGTAAGGGTAAGAAACTAACAAAGATTAGATAAAGAGTCAGTAAAGCAATTCATTACAGTTTAGGATCCTCAGATGTTCACTGAGAAATACATTTTCTCCTATATTCACCATCATCAGGGACAAATCTTGCTTTACTAATTTAGAAGTATAGTAGTATGATTTGTGGGACGAAAAAGCAGGCAGTCTTTCCCTAACATAATTTAAGATTTCATTCTCTTTGTGTTTTCATTCTGTTTTTAAGAGAATATTACATTTAAGCAATAGTGTAAGTTTTACAGAAAGTCATTAAGGTTTCTGAATTTCCAACAAAATCAAACGTATCCCTTTAGAGGATGTGATCATTAAACTTCTCTTGTTTATTCTTTCATAAAATATCTCTCTATGAAAAATCATATTTTAAAATAAGCACATGTGTATTTTAACTTTCACACAAATCATTTCATGCATTGATTACTCTTTTACAAATTGCCTCTTTACTCTGACAACATTATATCTAAGGATACTTTTCAGTTGAATATATATATAGGTTGAATTACTTAATTGATCCCATTAATCAAATTTTAATTTGATTAATTGCAAATTTTATTTATTTTCCATTAGTTTATAATGCTATAAGGTTCCAGAAGTATGGCTTCACATTTCATGTCTAGTTCTTATCTCTATCTCACTGCACCCACCACCATAGTGCCATCAGCAATCAAAATGGACCCCCACTAAGCTTTGTTTCAGTCTTCTTTTCCCTCTATTAACCTTTTCCCTCAGTCTTTTTTCTCCCATTTTAATATATATATATATATATATATATATATATATATATATATATATTTGCTCGAGTGGGCCCAGTAACGTCTCCATTGGAGACTTTGTTGTTACTGTGTCTGGCATATCGAATACTCTCGGTAGCTTGCCGGGCTCTCCGAGAGGGGCGGAAGAATCGAACTCGGGTCGGCCATGTTGGCCGCTTGTAAGGCAAACGCCCTACCCGCTGTGCTATCGCTCCAGCCTGATAAATTCTTTTAATTGGGTCACCGTAAGATACACAGTTACAAAGCTGTTCATGATCAAGTTTCTAGTCATACTGTGATCCAACACCCCGTCCTTTTACCAGCGTCCATTTTCCTCTCTCTCACTCTCTCTCTCTCTCTCTCTCTGTCTCTGTCTCTGTCTCTCTCTCTCTCTCTTTCTCTGTTTCTCTATCCCCCTTCTCTCTCTCTCTCTTCAGTCTTAGGTGTTAATTTTGTTATACTTTGCCAGTTCAATTGTTTTATTTTTATTTCAGAGCTGAGTAACATGATCCAATAATTGTCTTCACACCTTGACTAATTTTGCTTAGTATAATTTTACTGGGCTTCACTTATATTGTCTCAGAAGTCATGACTTCATCTGGTTTAATGGCCAAGATATGTTATTGTGTGTATATACAACAATTTCTTTATTCAATAGAGCAGTTCCTTCCATTTTCTCTGTTACTGACTTGAAATGACCCTATCAAGCCTTTTGTTAGGAGTCTATGTTTGTCTTTCTTGAATACATAGTATAGATGGATCCTGCTTGCCTTCTTTAATTGATCAGTTGAGACCATTCACATTTAGAGTGATTATTGCTGTATGGAATTTAAAACCATTTGTGCCATTCCATATTTTACTTTGCAGTTGTTTTACATTTTTGATGCTTCTTTTTAATGAGTGTCTATATGCCTTTTCCTTTAGATGGCTTTTTCCGCTGATTATATTTCTTCAATCTTTCTACTAGGTGTCTCTGTTCCAGATTTTTGATTCATAGTCACTATTAATTTCGAATCACTCTGTATGTAGCCAAGATAGCCTTTTTTGTGCTGGTATCAATTCATCACTCTAAACTAAACAGACTCTATACTGTTCTACTTCCCCTTTGTTTTGCTGTTATCTCATTTTCTGTTTTTGTTTCTAATTCTACATTACTATTTATCACCATACTCAAGGTTTTATGTTATATTTTTACCCCCCTTTTTGTAAAGGAACTCCTCTTACAGAGTTTCGTTGGACAGTAAACACCATTTTTTTGTTTGTTTGTTTATTGGAGGAAAGTCTATAATTATTTCTCCCTCAACTTTCAACGATAATATTTCAAGTTAAAGTACTCTTGGCTAGAAGTCTAAGAGTTTTTTTTAATATTTTAGAACTATAACTTTCATTCCACTTTGTCCTAGCCTGTTGAGTTTTTGTTGAGAAAAAGCCTGATGAAAGTGCTTTTTTTTATATATTATGTATCAATAACATGAAAGATGAGAAGCAAGAAAAAAATATGGTTTTACACAGAAATTGACAATAGTTTTCTCATATTATTTTATTAGACATCTCTAATGTTTACCTGAAAGGTAACATTTTTATATAACTCTATCTCCATAACTATTAAATCCCATAATTCATCAGTTTTCACTCTTAGGTCTTTTTTATTTCCTCAGTATTTATTAAAGCTAAAATTAATGTTGCATCTAATGCTTTTAAATATATTAAAATTAGTACTGCACTGCACTGTCCTCCCGTTGTTCATCGATTTGCTCGAGCGGGCCCAGAAATGTCTCCATAGTGAGACTTGTCACTGTGTTTGGCATATTGAATACATTATGGGTAGCTTGCCAGGTTTTGCCATGCAGGCGAGATACTCTCAGTAGTTTGCTGGGCTCTCCAAGAGGGGTGGAGGAATCGAACCTGGCTCAGCCAGGCTGGCTACACGCAAGGCTTATCATTTTAATTTTAAATTTTAGTCATGTAATATTTAGTAAGGTATCCCTGAGGAACTTTTCAGTAAATCAGGATTAATATTTAAGTTTATGAACCATTTAAGTTTATGAACAGTTTATTCTGATATATCAAAACCTGAAATCCTGATAAAACATATTCTTTTCCTAAAAGCCTATTAGCCTAGAACCAATTTGTTTGGTTATACTAAAAAGTATATAAAGTAGTGTACATTTCATTGAGATGTTTGTATTTTTAATTTTTGTGCTTGTATTATACACATACACACAAGTAGCAGAGACTGTGAGATAAAGTTCACAGAGTATTTGAGTAATCTCTCATCATTTCCTATTTGTCCAGTGATGTCTTTATTTTTCATATCTTATTTGAAAGACAAACAAAAATGAGATCAAGAAAGTTTGATGCCAGTGGATAATTTTTATTGTTCAAGGATAATTTTTCAAAGGTGCTTATTACATTAGTAAACTTAATCTTTATGCAGTAACAATGCAAATGCTTTGCAAGCTGACTGGAAATAGATGTATTTTCCATTCACAAATGTAGAAAAATAGGACACAAAGAGTGAAGGTAATTTTCCAGGACATAAAAGCACAGGAACGAGCAATTTCTTGGCCCCTGACCTGTGCAGGTTTGTTAGATTGTCTCACCTTCATATACCTTCAATTTATCTCATGCAGAAATGAACTTGAATACCACAAAGAAATGATTGTCTCTTATAAACATTGCAATGTTGTCATATGAATTTCCAATTAAAAGAGCTGAAGAGATAGTATAGCCCATAGGGTGCTTGCTTTGCACACAGCCAATTTGTGTTCAATCCTAAGCACTATAGGTGATTCTTTGAACAACACTGTAAGTGATTCTTGAGTACAGAGTCAGGAGTAGAACCTCAGCACTGTCAGGTATGACAAAAAAACAAAACATAAAGAAAAAGAAAAGAAGAAGATTTCTGTTCAATTAATTCTTTAAACATTTTCTCTCATCAAGTTTGTAGTATGATGGTGCTTATACTCTTAGTATTTCAGGTATGTTCAGTAATATATTCATTTATTTCTGATAAATTTAGCTAAATGAAACATTTTAGAGTACATGTGTAATTTAAAGTTCAAAGACAGTATTTTTGAATACATAATTATTATGTTTGATTACAACAGTCATATCTTCAGTTTTTTGGTAATTTTCCAATAATAACTTAAATTAAGAAAATAACAGCCAGTTTCATATTTCATCTTTAGTAAGAGACATTTTTTTTTTAATTTTTAGTGAAACACCATGAGGTACAGTTGTAGATTTACAATTTTTTGTGCTTGGGTTTAGATTATACAATGATCAAATACCCGTCCCTCCACCAGTGCCCATTTTCCACCACCATGGATAATATCCCTCCCACCGCCACCGCTCCCATCCCACCCTGCCTCTGTGGCAGGGCGATCTCTTGTATTCTCTCTCTCCTTTTGAGTGTTGTGGTCTACAAAAGAGGCTTTGAGTGGCAAACATGTTCAGTCCATAGTCTACTTTCAACATGCATCTCCCCTCCTGGGAGGATCCTCTAAACACCCTTTATTTGGTGCTCCCTTCTCTATCTGAGCTGCCCTTTCCCCTAGAATGCCTGGCTGGCCTCTAAGCTATGGAGTAATCCTCCTGGTGTTGATCTCAGCTATTCTTGGGTATTAATCTCATATTTTGTTTCTTTATATTCCCCAGATGAATGCAATCTTTCTATGTCTATCCCTCTCTTTCTGACTCATTTCGCTTAGCATGATACTTTCCATGTTGTACCACTTGTATATAAATTTCATGACTTCATCTTTTCTAAGAGCTACATAGTACTCCATTGTGTAGATGTACGAAAGTTTCTTTAACCAGTCATCTGTTCTTGGGCATTCAGGTTTCTTCCAGGTTCTGGCTGTTGTAAAGAGTGCTGCAATCTAGTAAGAGACTTTTACTTCCAATTTTGATAATGATACTCTTCAACTTGGAGGATCTTTGGATATAGTAGCTGTCACTATCACTGTCCTCCCGTTGTTCATCGATTTGCTCGAGCGGGCCCAGTAACGTCTCCATTGTGACACTTGTTACTGTGTTTAGCATATTGAATACGTGACGGGTAGCTTCCAGGCTTTGCCATGTGGGCGAGATACTCTCGGTAGCTTGCCGGGCTCTCCGAGAGGGGTGGAGGAATCAAACTCGGGTCGGCCATGTTGGCTGCGTGCAAGGCAAACACCCTACCGCTGTGCTATCGCTCCAGCCCATAATAGTAGCTATCCCACCAAATTTAGTTAATTCTACACATTTTGTCTCTGATATGAGTGACAGACTCTGATCAAATCTGTTGTTAAAAATCTCATTTGAACAACAGATTTGATATTTCACAAAATGGCTAAAATGACAAATTGTATTTTATCACAATTATATAGAAAATAACTCACGGTCCTCCCATTGTTCATCGATTTGCTTGAGCGGGCCCAGTAACGTCTCCATCATGAGACTTGTTGTTACTGTGTTTGGCATATCGAATACGTCACGGGTAGCTTGTCAGGCTCTGCCGTGCGGGCAAAATACTCTCAGTAGCTTGCCGGGCTCTCCGAGTGGGGCGGAGGAATCGAACTCGGGTCAGCCATGTTGGCCGCTTGTAAGGCAAACGCCCTACCACTGTGCTATCGCTCCAGCCCTAATTAATTTTAAATAGTGTATCTACAGCCAGAAAAGTGACTGAGAATTACATTTTCAAATTGTAGCACCTGGGGAACTTATGAGCTTTGAAACAGAGCACTAAATATAATATTCATTGATACTTTTGTAATAAGTTATTAATTCATTGGTTTTTGAATATAGGGGAAATTATTTGAATCAGAAAAACGAAGGAAGCAGTTGACAGAAGAACTCCAGATTGTGAAACAAGTAAGTGCTTATTTGTATATCTGTGTTTTATTTGCATATGTCTAAGCACCTAAATATAATGCAATGATGCCAGAGCTTACAGATGTGAATAACATAATAATACTTGGTATGAATTTTTAAAGTAATCATTTTCAAAGCCTAGTACTTGTGCTCAACTCTTGATACTGTTTGAAAAAAATGTTAACTCTTCTTCGAGATTGCTTTCAAATTCATGTATTAATGGACTAAAATAATAAATTTCAATGCATTGCTATTATTTTTTTCTTTCTCTTTAATGTCTGTTTTCTTCCTCCAAAACTCCTTACTTTGTGTGACTGAAAAAAAAATCCCAAAATACCCTCTCAGGCAGAATACATAAAATAAAAAATTATTTTTACTGCGTAATATTTTATTTTAGGTAGCTTACAACAGCATAGCTCTTTCGATTCCTCTTTGAGAGACCCGAATAGCGTTCTCATCCTGTTTTCGTAGGGTCCAGATCTCTGAGGCATATGTTAATGCAGGAAGAACAGTGGAATCAAAGAGATGTGCTTGTAGCTGGAGGTTCTTTGTCCTTTTAGTTATGTCTTCAACGTTCTTGAAGGCATTCCAAGCCGCTCTCTTCCTCCTGCACAACTCAGGTGCCAGGTCATTCATCATGTTGATTTCTCGACCTAGGTATATATATAACTGTTGCATTCGGAGATGGTGGTTCTGTTGAGAGCGAATGGAGCGTCAGGAACAATGCTGTTTCTCATAAACATTGTCTTCGTAAGATTCAGCTGTAGTCCGACCTTTCCACATTCACGGTTAAAGTCGTTCAGCATTTGTGCCGCTTGGCTGATGTTTGGTGTTATTAGAACGATGTTATCAGCAAAGCGGAGGTGGTGTAGTTGCCGACCATCTATCTTCACTACCATGCTTTCCCATTCCAGTCGTCGCATGATGTTCTCGAGGGTGGTACTGAAGAGTTTTGGTGAAATGATATCACCCTGCCGAACCCCTCTCTTGATATGGGTGATTACTTCTTTGTAGAATGGTGAGATCTTGGTAGTGAATCCGCAATAGAGCTCACGAAGGAGCTCTGATGTATTGAGTTTGTACGCCCTGATTGGCTAGGGCTTCCATGACTACTTCCGTCTCAACAGAATCAAAGGCCTTCTTTAAATCAATGAACGTTAGACAGAGCGACATCTTGAACTCCCAAGAAACCTCAATGAACTTAGTAATCGTGTGGATATGGTCGATGGTACTGAATCCTTTTCGGAATCCGGCTTGTTCACATGGTTGTCCTTCATCTAGTGTTCTGCTAATCCTATTCAGGATGACTCGAGTGAACAGTTTGTAGACGACAGACAATAGGCAGATTGGGCAATAGTTGCCAATGTCGTGGATGTCTCCCGTCTTGTATAGTAGTATAGTCCTGCTAGTTTTCCATTGGGATGGAACCTTGCATTCAGACAGGTAGCGTGTGAAGAGCCGAGCCAATGTATTGATGAGTACTGATGGTAAGTTCTTCAGGTGTTCAGGTCTGATCTTGTCTGGGCCAGGTGCTCTTTGTTTCTTTACCCACGAGATGGCATGTTGGATTTCGGAAGGGAGAACATTGGGAACGACATATCCATCATGTGGTATGTGGTATGTGGGCAAGTAGACGTGGTTATTAAAGAGATCTGAGTAGAAGTCATGAATAATCTTCTCCATTGCCCTTCTGGAAGATGTGATAGATACATCATGATGTCGGAGGGCAGTCATCTTGGTTTTGTAGTTGGTGAAGGACAGGCGGGCTTTACGAATGCTTTTCCCAGCTTCTGCCGCATCTACCAGTACTGTTGCTCTCCTGTTTTTGAGGTCATCCTTGATGGCTTCTCTGCACTGTTTTGCCAGTTTGGATGTTCGCTTGTGGTTGCCTGAGGCATGTGCCAAGCCACGTTGGCGAATAAGTTCAAGAGTGTTCGAAGAAAGGCAGATTTTTGTGGTTATCTCTCTCTTGGCATTCCTCGCACAATCATGGAGGTGTTGAATCATTCGATCGTATTCCTCATCAATGTTATCAATTATGGCATCTTCCCATGTTGCCGCAACAGAGCCAAAGATCTCCCAGTTGGTGGTCGTTCTGGGAGTCCTCTTCTTAAACCTTGCATTCTTTTCTCCTCGTTCTGTGAGGTAGAATTTTGCACGAAGAAGACGGTGGTCTGATCCCGTTTGGAATTTTGGGACAACAGCACATCGGTTAGGCAAAACTGTCGATTGAATATGATGTGGTCTATTTCATTGTGGAACCGTCCATCGGGAGACTCCCATGTCCAACGTTTAGATTCAGCCTTTTGGAACTGTGAGTTACCATGGAAGGTTTTGGTTGACATGATGAACTCAGACAGTCTGTCACCCTGTTCGTTTCATTCTAGGCCATAGGTCCCGATGTGGAGTTCATCAACTGATCTGCTTGGTCCTATCTTGCCATTAAAATCACCAACAGTGATCTTGTAGAAGGTGTGATCTTCTTTATAGAACTTCTCCAGCTCCATGTAGAACTTCTCAGTTTTTCTTTCACCATAACTGGATGTTGGTGCATAGACAACAAAGATAGAAACTGCCAGTAGTGAGCCACATCTATTCAAGTGTAATCGTCCGATTCAGGTTGTTAGGCATTTGAATGAATTAATGCTCATGGATAAGTTTGTGTTGACAAGGATACCGACACCACCAACGCCTCTTTTATCACATGTTCCAAGGAACAGTTCTTCTCCAGTGTCGAAAATGGCATGATGTGATTGATGTCTTCTCGTTTTGGTCTGACCAATGATGTTGTACTTGATCTTTCGTGCTTGTACCATAAGGTCTTCAATGGATGCAGTAGATGCCAGCGTACGAGCATTAAAAGTACAGACAATCATTTTTGTTTTTCTTCATTTTGGCAGCCTATTTTTGCCTTGGTATTTTATCAGCCTTTCCTTCCATATCCTTCTTGACTTTGCCATATTCAGGGTTAGGGGAATGAGATATATTTATTACTGGAATAATAATATAAAATATAATAAATATAAATATAAAAATATGTTAAAAAATAATAATAATAATAATAATAAAGAGGAATCGAAAGAGCTATGCTTGGAATATCACGATTCACTCAAATGAGAGATAGAATCCGGAGTTCTGATCTTCGTCAACACTCAAGAATCAGGGACGCTGTCTCATTTGCCAAGACATCAAAAATCAAATGGGCTGGACACATAATGAGGTTTACAGACAACCGCTGGACTAGAGCCATTACTGATTGGATTCCACAGGACATCAAAAGATCACGTGGACGCCCACCTACAAGATGGTCAGACTTCTTCGTCAAGGCCCTGAATGATCGGTTTGAGGCTCTGCATGTTCCTAGAACGAACAGATACCATTGAGCTACGGTAGCATGCTACCGGGATGAATGGAGACGTTACTGGCACCCACTCGAGTAAATCGATGAATAACGGGGATTAAGTGATTAAGTGATTAAGTTTACAACAGACAAATATAGTGACTTTTAATGAACTAACAATATAAGCAACAAATAAGAGCAGAAAGCTAAGAGAACCTTGTTAGAAGAAAATAGAAATAACCTGTTTTTAATATTTACCTCCTTTATTGCCTCCCTCAAAAGCATATAATCAGCCAAGAAGGCATATAAAATCTATAGGATTCATATATATCTTAAATGAATATAAGTTCATATCTGTCTTATGTGACATAACCTTCAAAATACATATAGAGTTTTAGAATTCCAACAAACTCCTAGGGTACAAAGAGCAAAGTAGCTAAAGACTCTGGAAAGACAACAGGCAAAGTACAGCGATTAAACGTAGTACAAATAAAATCATCCACAAATAAGAGAAAATGCAACAATTAATGCCAAAACGCTGAACACAGTCCAGGAAATCAGCTCCAGCGCCTTAAAATGCTACCACACAAGTAGCAGCCTTGGAGAATCACTGCTTCTGGGGAAGCTTCAAATGAATAGAGAAGGGGTAAGGATATCCCTTGGAAGCTAGACAAAGAAGGGGAAAGGTAGGTAAATGAAAGATGAATTAAGGATATTATAGGAATGAGATTAAAAACACAAACAAACAAAAAAACTCAAAAAACCAAATCATTCCAGTCCTCTCCACCTATGCCCTGTCACCTACAAGCATCAACAACATGAAACCATAAAAGAAATTGCACAGAAGAGGGTGCTGTTGAACTAAGAACTCTTTCATGAAAGAAAATGGAATGTTGTTTCATCTTTACAAAATGAGTGTTAAAAAAAATCAAACAGTATGAATTTCTTCTTTATGAAAATTCTCCCAAATAGTTCAACCAGAAAGTTAAAGATAACTGTTATACAGCAGTCTAAGCGCAATGAAATATACATAAGCAAGCATTTGTTTCAACCTTAAGAAACTCAGAAACTTAAAACATAAACTGACAACAAGAGGAAAAAATGAAATGAGCTGATATAAAGAAAATAAATAGAACAAAAAAGACAAAAATCATATATAAAATGAAAACTCGGTTACAAGGAGGAATTACTATTGCCCACGGAAGACGATTATTGTGAAATAAAATGAGAGTTCCTTCAAGTTAGATTCCTATGACATGCCCCTGCTATTTTAAATACTTATTTATTTCTAAAAGGCTCATCTTGTGTTTAGCCTGCAAACAAGTCATTTCTCTAAAGAGAATAGATCTACCTTTTTAGTGAAATTGTATCTAGATTCTCAGATACACTGTGTAGCATGTGTTTTTTGACTCTTTTAGCAGACAGAGTTGATGTGTGTGTGTGTGTGTGTGTTGTGTGTACAGTGGATAAGGCACTTATCTTGTACCTAGCCAATCTAGGTTCAATCCCCAGTACCACAGAAGTTTTCCCAGGCACTCTAGGGAGTGATCCCTGAGTGCAGAGCCAGGAGTAAGCCCTTAGCACTGCTAGGTGTGGTCCCTAAACCAAAATGATATCTTTGTCTACATATATGGACACATAAGCACATATACAGTCATAG